AAAAAAAAAAAAAAAAAAAAAAAAGAGAGAGCTAAAGAACACATGACATTCCAATGAATATTTGTTCATGCTGAAGGAATTAACACAGTGCAGAGAAGAAGAAAAAAAAAAGAAAAAAAATATTTGTTCATGTTGGCTGGTATAAATATAGGTGTTTGTTACATAAGCTGTACTTTTCTGCTTTTTAAATGGTCCTTTCCAATGCTTTTTGTTATCTGTATCTTCTAACAGAATTCAGATTCTTGATATTTAATTCCCTCAAATTAATTTGTGCTAAACTGATGTTACCTTTTAACCATTATACTCTTATCGCCTCCCTCATGTCTTCTTCTATCTCCCCATCTAAACCAAAAAATTGCTGTCATCTATAATTCTTATGAGTAAGTTCCTGAAAAGTCCAGGAAGAAGCTAACTGCAAAAGAATCACAGGGGGATTTGCTGACTAACACCGGTAAACCCTCAGCCCTTCCACTAAGATTCACAGGTCTGGGTACTGGCCCAAAAATGTGTATTTTCACTATTGATCCAGCAGGTGGTTCTAAAGAAAGTGATCCAAGGATCACATTTTGGAGAAACAGTGATCTAGCAAAGGGATCCTCAAAAAAGGGAGGAGAATATTTTAAACAACACAAACTCCTTTTCGCAGTTGATAGTCCCCTTAGTAACAGGATACTCCCCACCAACAACTCCATCCCCATCCCAGGGGTAACTCAGGTAAGACAGGGTACAAAACAAGGCTATCAACTACTGTTTCATTAAATAAAAACAGCATCTGGGACTAACGCTGGCTCAGTCTTAGGTTGCCTATTTCCTCTCAAAACTTACCTCTCACTCAAAAGAGGGTTTTCAGAAATCTGAAGAACACTCAAAGTTCAGAGTATCAAATAAAAGAAAAACCAATAACAAAAGATTAGAAACGTACAGCAGACATAGTGAGCTACTGGGGAGAAAAGATAAATGTTTTACTTGTACATAAGAGTTTTAAAGGATCGGAAAAACTATCAGCCCTGGTGTTTTCAAGAATACTGTAATAGTTTTCAGTACCCGATTCCAATCTCAATGAATCTGAAATAAAAATAGCAATTGCATCTCTTTTTTGGGAACATTTCATCTGATCTTGGATTTCTCTGGCAATAGTATGACTTTTTAACCTTCAATCAGAAAAGCCACCTCCCTTTTTAAATTTTTTATTGTGAAAGTTGAAAGAAGAATGCAAACTTACTGAATCCTTCTTCCGAGATCGTTCCTTCTTCATTTTCCCTCCTGCTGCTCTGATGCTGACTCTGTTTTCTCCTCCCAGGTAACCCCGGCAATTGGCTGACCCACAGAAACATTTCTGGGCTTCTTTTCTGTTCAAAGAGGATAGGAAAGAAGTCAACTATGTGGAAGTAAAATATATAAAACTGTCAGCAATAAAACAATTACACCCAAGAGAAAAGTCGTACCAGTCTAAATCAAATCAAAACAAAACAGAAAACATGGTAACTTGAAGAGATTCCAACAAGTCTGCTATTACTAACAGAAATGCCTGAAAACTGCTCCTTAAAAATATTCATTCTTTTTTCAATAATCTTTCTTTCAGAGGCCAAAGTGGTAAATCACTTGAGGCCAAGAGTTTGAGACCAGCCTGGCCAACATGGTGAAACGCCATCTCTACTAAAAATACAAAAATTAGCTGGGTGTGGTGGTGCACACCTGTAATCCCAGCTACTCCATCCTGGCTACTGAAAAGGCTGAGGCACGATGTCTTTTGAATCCAGGAGGCAGAGGTTGCAGCAAGCTGAGATAAAACATTGAGTATTCTAATAGTAAACTGACATTTAGTATATAATAGTACCAATTAGAGGCATAAAAATAAGTTATTCAACAAGTAGAGCAGGAACTCCCAAACAGCACTTGATTTCCACTTTTCTTTACCTCAAAAAGGACAGTACAAGCACAGAGGCAAAAAACGGAGCCCTACACAGAACGTGGTCTGCACTCATGCCCTGCAGTCATGCACTATCTGACAAGACTAGCAGGCAGAATTGGAAACAACCACCCGGCATTTGTCCTAGATTATAATCAGATCATCAGTTTCACAACTGACAGAACTTCAGAGTTCACTATGTTTTAAGACATGAAATATGTATGAAACAGTGTGAAGGAGTATGTAAAAGACCTTCATTGCCAGAAGTCTGGTTACTGGCATCAGACTGAACAGAGTACAGGAATTAAAAGCTCATCATATGGTAGCATTAAAAGAGTTAAAATATTCAGTAAACTCTGCATCTGTGTGCTTTTCTAGTATAAACATCAAAAGCTATTAATTGATACAGGTATAATCTGATAAAAATAAAATAAAAACTTTTAGAGTTTTGTATCTTACTTAAATTTTCCAATACTTTAACTGTACTGGTTTCTTAATAATCAGAAAGCATCTTGTACAGGACACTGGTCCTCAAGACCAAAGACAAGAAACTGTTTCACAGGTAATGTTGTGTTCTTTCATTATGAGGCACACATTAGTTGTCTTTTTCTGATCTTAGCAGCCACTAATGACCCTTGTTTACTATCCATACCTTACTAAGTGTTGCAAAATGGTGATATTTTTACTACTTCATTAGTGTTATGTTGTTTTTTGAGATGGGGTTTCAAACTATGGCCCAGACTGGAGTTTTGTAACAAGTTCATACCTCCCTGCAGCCTCCATCTCCTAGGCTCAAATGATCCTCCCACCTGACCCTCCTAAGCAGCTGGGACTACAGGCGTGCACCACCTCAACTGGCCTACTACTTCACTTATTAACTAGAAGACCTGTATAAAGAAGAACTTCCTCTCATCAACTATTTGGTTCAACCTAAAGCAGAAGTCACATGGGAAAGGCAGTATAAATGTTTAAATGCTCAATTTTTTTCCTTTATTTTTAAACTAGTCTTCAAAGTCATAAATTGGTTTATGACTAATATAGTTTTTTTCTCCCCCGAGTCAGAGTCTTGCTCTGTCGCCCAGGCTGGAGTGCAGCGGCATGATCTCGGCTCACTGCAACCTCCACCTCCCAGGTTCAAGCGATTCTCCTGCCTCAGCCTCCCAAGGAGCTAGGACTACAGGCATGCAACACCACGCCCAGCTAATTTTTGTATTTTTAGTAGACACAGGGTTTTACCATGTTGGCCAGACTGGTCTCAAACTCCTGACCTCGTGATCTGCCCATCTCAGACTCCCAAAGTGCTGGGATTACAGGCATGATCCACTGCGCCTGGCCTATAGTTTTATTTTTAAATAGTCATTAGAACACAGGGATTTTACATAATGTGCTTCAAACCACCTCAGTTAGTAACTTTATTAATGCTTAAGTATTAATAAGAACTCCCACACTTTTAGTTTAGGCAGTCTTTGCCATTGTATCAGTTATTCTTTTTAGGAAACAGAACTAGGTAACCAATTATATTTAAGAGTACAAAATGGTACAGATAAAATAAGACTGGTTGTTAAGTTGATAACTGTTAAAGCTGAATAACAGATACACAGGAAATTTATTATGCTGTACTATTCTCTTCAGACACACAGAGTTAGCATGCCTATAACAAAGTTTTTCAGAATTACATAAATACAGTTATACAAGTAGATAGTATGATGTTGAGGAGAAACTTACATAGTTCCTGTACAACATCCCTTAATGGTCAAAAGTGTCATAAAGTAGGAAAAACACACAAAACCAAAACAGTATCTTATAGACAAGAGTTGAGAGTAAATATAACTCTTAAGTGATTCATATTAAAGTTTTATATCCTTATATCTGAACAGCCTATTTCCCCATCAGAAGCAGCAAAATTAGTAGAAACAATACTTACCCATATCTCTGGAACTGATAGTCAAATGTTAACTCTGAGCCTGAAGGAACCAGTTTGGTGGTAAAAAACCCAACCCTCAGTTGTCCGTTCACAGTCCACTGAGATGATGTTTGAAAATAAAAGAAATTAGTAACTTATTAGTGTGTGTGTGTGCGCGCATATACAAAGATCATCATCATCTGCCTTAATTATGCATATGGCTCTTTAGGCAATAAAAGTTTGCCCAAATAGCACAAGGGGAATTTTTTCTTTAAAAGAACTAAAATATTTAAGTGTAACTCTCATTTAATGGACTACCAGATTGGATATATTTCTAATTTGTCTCTAATAAAAGTAACTGCTAAAAGAAAGAAAAAAAGTAACTGCTATTTTAATTTATCTTAACATTTCCATACAGTAAAGATTCACGTACTAAAAACTGGCAAATAGAGGATGTTTGTGTCACTGGGTATCAAAGGCAAGTCTATATTAACATATGTTAAAAGTAACCATGTTGCAAGATAAGATGAGATAGAGAAACTAGGAAACACTGATGCCCAAAATTTAATTCCATGAAGCAGTGGTCATCTGCCTAAGTATAGTGAAAGGGAAGAGAAACATCAGAACAGATGCATAAAACTCAAGAATTAAAATGGGGCAGATACATGGGAGTCAGATCTTTTAGTTCCAAAACAAGTAAGCAAGTCAAGGACTGAGGAGCTCTGATCCAGACAATTTGCACCTGTTACTAATGAGATATCCTGACTTGCAGAGATTAAGGAACACTGTATGGTGGAAGTCTCATAGCTAGACATGTGGCCACCAGCTCTGGCAGAAACAGAACCAAAACGTATGTTCAATGATTCCACAGTAGGTTCTCCTTTTTGTTATATACTTGGCTCTTGGAAGAGCCATGCATAAAATCTATGAGTGTATAGACAAAAGGGTAAAAAATATCCAGACTCAAAGCACTATTTCATCATGAGAGGAAGTCAATGATATACATTTACAGAGTAGGTTCATAGCTTTAACCTTAAAAAGTTACAATCCCAGCCGGGCAGTGAGCCTCACACCTGTAATCTCAGCACTTTGGGAGGCCAAGAGGGGTGGATCACTTGAGGCCAGGAGTTCCAGACCAGCCTGGCCAACATAGCAAAACCCAGTCTTTACTAAAAATACTAAAAAAAAAATTAGCCAGGCATGATGGGACACGTGTAATCCCAGCTACTTGGAAGGCTGAGGCAGGAGAATCTTGTGAATCCAGGAGGTGGAGGTTGCAGTGAGCCAAGATTGTGTCATTGCACTCCAGCCTGGGTGGAAAAAAAAAAGCTACAATCCCTCTCAATGTTAGTCGTTCAGTCCCTCATGAGTGTTGTTACTGAAAGTCAAATGTTGCACCTAGATAAGACCTGATAAAGAATCCAAATACACACTGAACTTTCAAAATTAAAATTTAGTTTTCTATTTTGACACCATTAAAATAATATCTAAAAAAATTATGAGCAAGGGGAGGTGATAACTAAACACAATATGAGTTCCTGGATTGGATCTTGGACCAGAAAAACAACAACTGTCAAAATTTGAATAAGGTCTTTATATTACTTAATACCATTCCCTGGATCTGATCCTTTTATTATGCTTATATATGATGTTAACACTGGAAAGATAGGTGAAGAGTGGTATATGGATATAGTCAATACTATTTTTGCCACATTCCTATAAATCTGAACTCATTTCAAAATAAAATCTTAAATAAAGTAGAATAGGAAAAAGAGACTAAAACATTCATAAGTACCTTAGACATGGGATCTAAAATTAATGGTCAGAACAGCAGTTGTGAAGAAATATCTCAAACTATAAATCCACCTCAACTTACTTTTTGGGTTTCACAGTTTGGTTCACAGCTGTGATTCATGAAACGAGAGCAATTTCCTTTTTGAGTGGCATCTATTATCTGGGAGAAGAGGATCATTTAAGAATTAAAAATAATACCTTAGATATTCATGCAATTACCTCCAAAACTACATACATCTCTTATTCATCAATTAAAGAAAAGACTGGTGCTGTAAAACCTAACCAGTTAAGGTAGGGCGGGGGTGGCAAGGCCTCCTGACTACCAGCTTCATAGTTTTTCCACTGTAAACAACACCTCAGTTTCCATTATTTCTAACAGAAGACAGATGACACTGTGAATTAAATTAACCCATCATTCAAAAAAAAATTTACACATTTTACAAAGGAAAAGCATTAAGGCAAACGTAGTAAGACACAGGCACGCGGAAGTGTACACGTGCGCGCACACATACACTCCCTTACCCCCACCTTGTCCTTGCTTCAGATAACTCTTTCACACTACTTTACACTTCCAAGTGACAAATATCTAACTGATGCTTTTTGAAAATCTGCTAATTATAAACTTTTGCCCACAGGGAAAATTATCAATGTCTCTCCCATTTATCCTTAGCTATTTCTTACATTCTATTACATCCAATTTCCTTGCGTGTGTAATACTTCGCTTTAAAGTGTGGGCTATGTCATAGTACTACCATAGGTTTCAAACTTAAGTGTGTACCCAAATCCCATAGAGACTTTGTTAAAGCTTGCTGAACTCTCCCCCAAGGTCAAACTAAACAGCTCTGGGGTTAGGTCCCTGGCATTTACATTTCCACACTGAATACATAGGCAAACATATGAGCCGGCTCGGAGGCTCATGTCTGTAATCTCAGCACTCTGGGAGGTCGACGGGTGGATCACAAGGTCAGGAGTTCGAGAACAGCCTGAGCAACATGGTGAAACCCCATTTCTACTAAAAATACAAAAAATTAGCCGGGTGTGGTGGTGCATGTCTGTAATCCCAGCTACTTGGGAGGCTGAGGCAGGAGAACTGAGGGAGGCAGAGATTGCCAGGAGCCAAGATCCTGCCACTGTACTCCAGCCTGGGTGAGTGAGACTCGG